TGCTTGCTCCCACACCTTGCCCCTCGGTTTTCGGTCTGTTGGGACCGTTTTCCCAGGGCGTTCTGCTGGGGTCTGTGCTTTGCCTTTTAGTGGTGTTCTCCGCCGGCAAATGTGGTGGTTTGGGCTCCCCCTGGTTCGATTCTGGGTTCCTTTGGGTTCCTTGGTTTCGTTCTGGAGGTTTCTTCCTCTTGGGCCCCCTTTTGTGGGTTCAGGGGACTTTGTTTCCTCGTGTGACCCGGTTCTGCCTTTTGGGGTTCCGGGGTCTTCCTGGCTTGCAGACTGAGCTTTTTGGGTCTTGGCACATGTTGTGGTTGTGTTGGGACTTTGTGGTTTTGCTGTCGAGGTGGGCCTTTTGATGCAGTTTTGTGCCTTCTTTGCCTGGCCGGCGTAGTGCTCTTTGCCACTAGTCGGCGGCTTGTGCTTTTACAATATATGTCCTCACCTAGTTGTGCTTGTGGGGGTTGAGCTCTGGCTCCTTGGTCCTGCCTCTCAACCGTCCGTCAACAGGTGTATCGGTTCCTGTGCCTCTTGGGCTCTGTCATGTCTACATGTGACATTGTATGGGGGTCAGCCTCGTTACTTGTGTGAGGAGTCGCCACATTACTTCTTAGTGCTTTCCCGTTCCCATTCTGACACTCAAAAAAAAAAAAAAAAAAACTTTAATTCTATCTGTGGCTCTTTTGGGTACTCAGTTTCCACCTGTGTCCCCTAGTGCATGTGCCCCTTGTGTTACATAGCCTGTCCTTCTCAACCCTGTCGATTCCCTTGGGTATCTTGTATGTGGTGATCAGGTCTCCCCTCACTTCCTCTTCCAGCGAAGTGTGGTTTCATTCCCGTAGTCTCTCCTCATGACTTCGGTAGTGTACTTTTTCTTTCTGAAGGGGTTCTGTTCCCTTCTCTGTTGACTGGGCGCTGGGGGAGCAGCTTGCTCTGTTGCCTCTCGCTTGGTCCCGCTGTTGGTGGGCGCTTTGGGATGTCTTCCGGCCTCTGCTGGCGTCGGAGGACGGCTTCTCCCCCTTGGGGGGGGTTCAGAGCTGGCGGGGTGGGCTTCTTCCCTGCGCTTCGTCATTTCCTCTTCGTGGGTGCGTGGGGCGTGGTCGATCTGCCCCATCCTTCTGGGCTTCCCGTCTGCTCTTTGCAGTCATGAGCTTTTCCCGTCTGCTCTTTGCAGTCATGAGCTTTTCCAGTCTGCAGTTCTTCTGGACTACTTCCGTCTGCGCCCTGGATCCTCTGCCCTGCTCGGAGGACTGTTGTCTCCTATTCGGATTCTGTTAGGGCCGGGTGCATGGATGGTGGACCTGGACCTCCAGGTCACTTCTTGGCACGTTCCTCTCCAGTTTTTCTGGGGCTAGCACGGTTGGTAATTACCTATGTGTACTTACCTAAGTGTAGTTACAGGATGAGAGCTACTATCGTGGTGTCCCGTCTTCCCAGCACTCTTTGTCATATAATGCTTTGATTTTAATTGTCATATTGTCATATAATGATTGTCATATGTCATAATATGTCTTCATATGATTGTCATACAATGCTTTGGTGGTGGGGCTTCAGGTTTGCTGTTTTTATTGCATTCCCTATTTTGTGAAGGGCACTTTGTATACTCTTTGCATCTTTACCGGATCTTAGTGCCCTGTCTGCGTCTGAGATTCGGTGTCTGGCCTACCTCGACGACTGGCTGGAGTGGGCTCCCAGTCAGTCCGCTTGTCTGCTCGCCAGGGGATGGTTCTTTCCAGATCGCTGGGTTTGGTTTCCTGGTGATCTGGGGGTTTTACCTTCTGTTTCCGTCCCGGGTTCGGACCTGGGCCTTGTTTCAGGCTCTTGGGCCCCTCATTGTCTTCCCTCCAGAAGTGTTACTGTGGCTGTGGTCCCGCCTTTGGCTGTTCAGGAGGGGGTCCCGGGTTGCTCAGCGGTTGCTTGGGCGGTTGTGCGGGAGTTTGCACTTCGGCGTGCTTGTCTGCCCGCGGAGTCGGGTTTGGCTCCGGCGTCGGTTGGTTCCTACGGAGACTCCACTTCCGCCTCTTGCATTCCTTGGGTTCCTCTGGGGATCTGGTGTTGGTGCTGCGTCACCAGCTTCCTCTTTGGGGTTTTCGGGGTTCCGTGCCTTGGCGGCTTCCCGAGCCTTCGCTCGATGTGTTCACGGACGGGTCGTCTCTCGGCTGGGGCTTTGTGACCTGTGCTCACCAGGTCGGCCGAGGTTGATGGAGTCTGTCTGTCCGTCGGGCTCACAGCCCGGTTCAGGTGTTCATGGCTGTCTGGTTTGCGCTTCGGAGGGTTTGGGTTACTAGGTACTCTACCATTCAGCTCTGTTTGGACTGTTCTCTGGTGGTTCTTGCCGGAACCACAGGGGGTTTGGTTAACCGTGTGGTTCGTGTCCGGGGTGTGTCCTGCGTCCTGGTGGACAGCTGTCTCGGTTCATTCCTCTTCGTGGGTTGGCCAGTCGTCGCCGATTCGTTTTGTTGGCTCTGTTGGGCTTATGGACTCCTGGCCCTGGACGTCTTCGGGTCGGCGTGGTCTAGGCGTCGCCCGTTTTGTGGCGCCCTTCCCACCTGCGAGGACTTCACGGTGGAGGCTTTAGGCAGGCCTGGTCGAGGTGGGGGGTACCTGTACCTCTTCTCCCGGTCCAGCTGTTGCTTCGGGTTCTGGCTCAGTTGCAGCCCATTCCCACGAGAACAGTCCTTATGGTTCCACTGTGGCCGGCCCAGCCTTCTTTTCAGACGCTGCTTGATAGGTGTCCGTACCCGGGGCGTTTTTCCTGAAGCTTCGCCTCTTTCAGCAGGCCGAATCGGTCCTGTCCGTGACTGGTTCGGCCTTCTCTTTGGCTCTTCGCGTCTGGTATTTTGACGCAGGTATCGCTATCTCTATGGTGTTCAGGTGGCTTTGTTGACGGTGTCCCACCTGCGAGCTTCGTCTTGGAGACTGTATGACGGTTATTACGTCTTCTCGCGTTTTGTTTCCCCTCCGGCCTGCTCATGAGTCGCCTGAGCCATCCTGGTCCTTGTTCAGGGTGCCTTCTTCTCTTCCCCTCAGTTTGTGGTAGCCCCTTCGGTTTCAGTTTCCTCCTCTTTGGTACTGGTGGTAGCTTTATTGGTGTGCAGCCTTTCTCTGTCCTGGCGACGGTCGAGACGGCTGCTTTCCGGAGGGGTTCTTGGGGTATTGGTACTTGTTTGGTTTGGCCGGGGGGTGCGTCCTGTGTTGTCCAGTTGTGCTTTTTGCTGTTGCCGGCGTACCGTGCCTGGGGATGCGCTGTGGTTGATCCGGTTCCTTCGTTCCCTGTTTTCGGGGCTCGGGTCTCCCGGGTCGTCCGCAGTGTTTTCCTTCTTACTGCGGTCTGTCTTTGCGCCCGTGCTGTTCAGACGTTTGCAGCAATTGCTGCTGTGTTGGTGACGTCTCGGGCTCATTTCGGGCGCAGGGAATTGTGGGTCGCACAGGTTTTTGGCCGCCCATCCATATGTGCGTCTGTTCTTGGGCGTTCTTGTTGCCTTGGGTCGCCGGTTTGCGACCGGTTGTCTTGGCTTTGCGTTGCAGAGTTTGTGGCGGCCGCCTCCCGGGTTAGCCCTTTCTTTTCCTTCTCTTTGGGTATGAAGCTCCAGGGAGCCGTAGGGGCTCCCCACAGAAAACCAGCGTTAAATGTAATGAAACGCCATTTTCTGGGTGAGCCCCGGAGGCTCCCTGGAAACCCTCCCTCCCACCGGTCGGCGGTTTTTTCGCGTTGGTTGAAGCTTAGCTTCCGAACTGGAGCTTGGCAGCCGGCGCGGTAGGTCCGGGGCTCCCCCCTCCCCCTCCCGGGGTGGGGAGGGCTGCGCGGACGATCGGCGCGGCAGTAAAGTGTGATGTTTGCTTGTTTGCTTGTTTCCTTGGGATTGTAGGGAGTTTTCTACCTCTCTGTTCGGTTTTTGTTGTAGTTTCTTACCATGTGGGGTTTGTTTTGTTACGCCTACCTTTCTGGGTGCCTAACCCCGGTCGATGGCAGATAAGGAAAACCCCCAACCATATGGGGTTTTCCAGGGCCATTGCTCCCTGAAACCTCTCTGAAGGGGCCAGGTTCTGGCGCTGGTCCCTGGTAGGTCTGAACTCCTTAGCTAATGTCCCGGTCTAACATAACACACATTAGCCCGATAAGCTCCAGGGAGCCTCCGGGGCTCACCCAGAAAATGGCGTTTCATTACATTCAACGCTGGTTTTTTACAGTTTTTGATGAATATGAAGTTCCAGGAATTAGGGCCAGGTGCCTTGTCGAGAGTACCTTGAGGTGTTTCTGGAGTTTAGCGTCCCCGCAGCTCGGTCATTGACCAAGCCTCCTTTCCAGGCTACCAGGGCACCTTACACACAGGGTAGAAGACAATTTTTTTTTTTAATTTTATATCTTTCCTTGCTTCACCCACATATTGCAGTTGCAATTAATAACAGCTACATATTACATTGTATTTGGTTAGTGTGTCTATGGGGATGGCTGTAGCTTGGCTGAAGATTGGAATTCTGCTTCTGACTGTTAGAAAATAAGTACAGAACCCATTCTGATGTGATATTCAGTGTGGGGGGGGGGGCAAAAGAATAATATATGTAGCCCACTGAGGCAAGGGGACATCCCCAGTGAGCATCACTTGTTGGGCATATTATGGTTGTGGGGTATACCCCATGGCAACAGCCATTTGATCTTGTCCTCTTAGCTGTCCCTGTCTGAGAGAAAGCCAGATTCTGACTCTGTCTGCCAGTTGGCAAGAATGAGTCCCCATAGGCCAGGGCAAGATTAAGGACCTGCGGGAAAATGCTATGCGTGTTAGTGGCTTTGCATGAATGTGAAATTACCTATCTTAGGTAATCTCACCAGCCTATTGTACCTTCTTGCAAATAAATTATTATAATAATAATTATTTTTATCTATTTTGGGTATGGCTGAACCAGTACTCAGTTCATGGAGCTCTTGAAGGTGCATCAAGAAAGGGCATTTCATGACATTGACTATTTGAGTTTCTTATTTATTATATGGTTTCTCTTTTCAGTTACTAGTGAGAAGTGATCATCATTTAGTGGTGGCCCTGTCGACAGCAGTGGATGCCATCGTGTCGCTTCTCCTTATATTAGCTGTAATCTTCTTTGCTGTGACAGCTTCTGTTTTCTTGGCAGTTCAGGTCAGTAATTTTACAAACACCATATTAAGCTTTAGGTATTATAATGCTCACAAAAGCTTTTAGAAAATTAGTTTCAGGCTGTGTAGAGAGGTTGCACACGAGTGGTGTCTGAAGGTTCTCTTTCATGCCTCGGAACAGTAATATAGATCTAAGTTAATTAAGGTAATGCACAATAGAGTTTATGAAGTTCTTGTTCATTTAGTATTTTTATAATTCTAATATGGGTTCCAAGCATTGCTCATTTGGGTGTTCTTTAACACAGCCTTTTTCATTTTATATTATCAGTGCTTACACACCTTATTACACCACCAGTAACACACAGGGCACCTTACTACTCCAGTAACACACAGGGCACCTTGCTTCTCCACCAGTAACACACACAGCACCTTACTACTCCACCAGTAACACACAGGACACCTTGCTACTCCACCAGTAACACACACAGCACCTTGCTACTCCACCAGTAACACACAGGACACCTTGCTACTCCACCAGTAACACACACAGCACCTTGCTACTCCACCAGTAACACACACAGCACCTTGCTACTCCACCAGTAACACACACAGCACCTTGCTACTCCACCAGTAACACACACAGCACCTTGCTACTCCACCAGTAACACACACAGCACCTTGCTACTCCACCAGTAACACACAGGACACCTTGCTACTCCACCAGTAACACACACAGCACCTTGCTACTCCACCAGTAACACACACAGCACCTTGCTACTCCACCAGTAACACACAGGACACCTTGCTACTCCACCAGTAACACACACAGCACCTTGCTACTCCACCAGTAACACACACAGCACCTTGCTACTCCACCAGTAACACACACAGCACCTTGCTACTCCACCAGTAACACACACAGCACCTTGCTACTCCACCAGTAACACACACAGCACCTTGCTACTCCACCAGTAACACACAGGACACCTTGCTACTCCACCAGTAACACACACAGCACCTTGCTACTCCACCAGTAACACACACAGCACCTTGCTACTCCACCAGTAACACACAGCACCTTGCTACTCCACCAGTAACACACACAGCACCTTGCTACTCCACCAGTAACACACAGCACCTTGCTACTCCACCAGTAACACACACAGCACCTTGCTACTCCACCAGTAACACACACAGCACCTTGCTACTCCACCAGTAACACACAGCACCTTGCTACTCCACCAGTAACACACACAGCACCTTGCTACTCCACCAGTAACACACACAGCACCTTGCTACTCCACCAGTAACACACAGCACCTTGCTACTCCACCAGTAACACACACAGCACCTTGCTACTCCACCAGTAACACACACAGCACCTTGCTACTCCACCAGTAACACACACAGCACCTTGCTACTCCACCAGTAACACACAGGACACCTTGCTACTCCACCAGTAACACACACAGCACCTTGCTACTCCACCAGTAACACACACAGCACCTTGCTACTCCACCAGTAACACACACAGCACCTTGCTACTCCACCAGTAACACACACAGCACCTTGCTACTCCACCAGTAACACACACAGCACCTTGCTACTCCACCAGTAACACACACAGCACCTTGCTACTCCACCAGTAACACACAGCACCTTGCTACTCCACCAGTAACACACACAGCACCTTGCTACTCCACCAGTAACACACAGCACCTTGTTACTCCACAAGTAACACACAGCACCTTGTTACTCCACAAGTAACACACAGGACACCTTGCTACTCCACCAGTAACACACAGGACACCTTGCTACTCCATCAGTAACACACACAGCACCTTGCTACTCCACCAGTAACACACACAGCACCTTGTTACTCCACAAGTAACACACAGGACACCTTGCTACTCCACCAGTAACACACAGGACACCTTGCTACTCCACCAGTAACACACACAGCACCTTGCTACTCCACCAGTAACACACACAGCACCTTGTTACTCCACAAGTAACACACAGGACACCTTACTACTCCACCAGTAACACACACAGCACCTTGTTACTCCACAAGTAACACACAGGACACCTTACTACTCCACCAGTAACACACAGGGCCAATAGTTGGCTTGCCGTCGCAGGAGGGTGTGGGTGGGTCGCGCTCCGCCGATAATCGTCAATATTCTCGGTTTAATTAAAGATTAGTGACGGATCACAGATCTAGGTAATCGTAAAGTGTATAACCGCAATAGTAAAAAGAAAATACAGTGATATCACTAGAACTTTGGGTTAAACAGTGAACAACAGTGTCAAACACGCCACGTGGGGAACGAGGGCCACGAGGCTCTGTTTACACATTGGTAAATTGGAAAATTGCATTTCCTTTCATTCAACAATGGGTTTTTTCTACAAATTGTTAGGGACTGGAAAGCTAGTGAAATGGTATATAAAAATAAAGCAACAAAGTCATTAGAGGAAAAGGGAGTAAAGGACAAAGGGAAAGGGAACATGTTTCTGAAAATTTTATGTACCAACATAGATGGATTGAGATAAAAAAATATTGGATCTAAGAGAAATAATACATAAGGTCCCCGATATTGTCACTCTAACAGAGACAAAACTTGAAGAAAATATTTTAAATGAGGTCGTATTCCCAAGGGTCTACTCGGTTTTGAAACATGACAGGAAAACTAGGAAAGGGTAAAGGAGTGGCTGTGCTGGTTAGAGGTAAGAGAGTCAATAATAAATAAAATGGTAAGAGAGTTAATAACTGAAAACCCTCAAAGTTGACATAATGTTATTGCATGTGTGAAATCGGGATGATAAACTGATAATCGTAAATGCCTACAGCCCAGCAGCAAGCAACACATGGACAAAGGAGGAACTAGATGACAAATGAGAGGGTCTCATAATGGTCATGAAAGAGATTATAGTAAAAGCAGGTAAAGATAAATCACCATTGTTGGTACTGGAGGACTTTAACTTGAAAGCAAATAAACTGGGAGACCTATGAAGCAAGAATGGAGGACATTTGGACAAGCAGATTTGTTAACCTCATTCTGGAGACATTCGTGTATCAACACGTCAAGCAGGTCTCAAGAATGAGGGAAGTCAGATGTTCCGTCAATACTGTAGTTAATATTTACCAGGAAAGAAGAAGAGGAGGAGGTTTTTGACATCCAATAACTTCCTCCCTTGGGAAAGGAATGATCATTTCCTGTTGGAAATTAAATATGATTTGCAATATAATCTGGAAGAGAAAGGGGACATTGAAACAGTTGATAAACTCGATTTCAAGAAAAGACACTATGGGGAACTTAGAAAATACTTTAATGAATTTAAATTGAACAGACTTGTTGCTAGGCAAGGAAATAAATGAGATGTATGCCAAACTTTGTGAAATATTCAATAAAGGCACACAAACATTGATTCCAAACAGAGATGCAGGACCAGAAAACAGGGTTGGTTGAACAGAAATTGAGAGTGCCAAAGAGGAAAATAAAAGAAAATGGGTTCAATATAGGAATAGGCCTAACCCACAAACATTCCAGCATTACAAGTAAGGAAGAAATAATTACACAGCGGTGAGGAGAGAGGCTGAAAGGAACTTTCATAAAGGTATAGTGGACAAATGGAAAACAGATCCAGGCCTTTTCTATAAATTCATTAAAACTGCATGTTTAGGATAAAATCCGGAGAGTGAGAATGGGTAACAGAACTACTGTAACTAAACAAAGATGCCGAAGAAATAAAAAAAAATTCACTTTCGCAAACAGAGTGGTAGACAGTTGGAACAAGTCGAGCGAGAAGGTGGTGGAGGCCAAAACCGATAGTAGTTTCAAAGAGTTATATGACAAAGAGTGCTGAGAATACAGAACACCACAAGCATAGCTCTAATCCTGCAACTACACTTAGGTAATTACACTTAGATAATTACATGACATCTTGCTACACCATCAGTAAAACATAAAACATCTTGTCGTCCTTCTTACACTGTAAAAAACATTAAATTCATCTTGGATATAATGTGGTCCACAAGCCAGGGCTGAAGCATTTGTGTTGTTTGCAGATCCAGTGTGTTGTTTGCAGATCCAGTGTGTTGTTTGCAGATCCAGTGTGTTGTTTGCAGATCCAGTGTGGTGTTTGCAGATCCAGTGTGGTGTTTGCAGATCCAGTGTGGTGTTTGCAGATCCAGTGTGGTGTTTGCAGATCCAGTGTGGTGTTTGCAGATCCAGTGTGGTGTTTGCAGATCCAGTGTGGTGTTTGCAGATCCAGTGTGGTGTTTGCAGATCCAGTGTGGTGTTTGCAGATCCAGTGTGGTGTTTGCAGATCCAGTGTGGTGTTTGCAGATCCAGTGTGTTGTTTACAGATCCAGTGTGGTGTTTGCAGATCCAGTGTGTTGTTTACAGATCCAAGGAGAGAGCATGGCGCTGGTCACTTTGGGGAGTCAGGTGATCAACTCCACTGTTGTGAACAACCCCCAGTTCCTGGCACTCCTCCCCGAGGGTCTTGGAGAGGTGATGAGCTCTGCACTGGATGAGGGCTACTTGTATGGCCGTGAATGGATCGCCAGCATGGTAAGAGGCTTGCTTTTATCATTTTGAATTTATTAAAGATTCATGTGTGTGTAATTTTATGTATGTATGTATTTGTATGTATGTATGTATGTATGTATGTATGTATGTATGTATGTATGTATGTATGTAGGCCTGGTCAACATGTATGTATGTATGTTATATAGGGGGTACCACCTTGGTTGTTTGTAGGGACCCCTTAACCCTTAAACTGCGCATGGCGTATATATACGCCATAGGGTGCCAGGCCTGATTCAAATGGCCCGCGGCTTCACGGGGTTCACAGTAGCTTCCTCAGGGCTCTTGTAAACAGATGCCATTTAAAAAAAAAATCGTGGGCAATATTCTCAGGTGTGAGAGGCACAGTACTGTTGGAGCAACCAAGACCGGCGCACGCAGCATGAGCGAACAGCATTGCTGTTCAGCTTGTGACCACAGCATCGCCGAAAAATGTCAAAATAAATATATAATTGTTATTATTTAGCGATGACAATATTACAGATGACCCATGACTGTGATATAAATAACCAGGGTTGTGATAATAGCAGGATTGTTGTAATAATTTGCGCTGTGGGAGGAGTGATGCTGAGAGATGGAGGGAGACAGCATCGTTTACTGACTGTGTGGCCACCTGTTATTGTTTGCATTCACCTTACCAGGTCAGTGGTTCTCTATGGTGAACACAAATGTAGATACTTATATATAATGTGTGTATTAGTGTAATAACAGCAAAAGGATTATGCAGGGAGGAGCCATATGTGTGACGGAGGTGACGTCGTCTGCACGATTTGTCTAGCTGTTTAGAGGGTGGCCACTATGCTCTTTGGGCACACTACAAGCTTAGGTGTACAGTTACGGTGCATAAAACATGTAGATATTTATATATAACATGTGTATATAGGGTAATAACACTGCAAAAGGTATTGTTGGGGAGAAAGTTTAGTGCGTGTGACCTTGAAGGAGTGAGGGAGCCGCCAGCTGACTGTGTGTACAGCGACGACTCTTAGTGCCTGAACTAACTATATCAGCTTAGCTGTACAGTTGTGGTGAACAAAATATATACATACTTATATATAACGTCTGTATATAGTGTAATAACACCCCAACTGGTATTGTTGGGGGAGAAAGTTTAGTGCGGTGTTGAGGGAGTGGCAGCGAGTGGCTGGCTGGTGTGTGGCGGTAACTCTTCGTTGCTTTTCGACTCTCAATACCAACTTAGTGGTTCGTTATGGTGGCCAAAACATGCAGATACTTATATATAACCTGTGTATAGAGTGTAATAGCAGCAAAACTATTTGTTTATTGTTTTATAAACATAATAATTGAATCACTAATATGCACATCATACTTTTGAGTATAGCGATTATTCACCACTTTTATTATATAAATATATTACAATACACACTATTGAATAATATTACTGCAAAAAAACTAAGAAAAAATCAATCGGAGACATTGAAACAATTAGGTAATAATATCTTTGTGGCAACTCCCATCTGTCAGCGCGGGTGACGCTGACCGGGTCTGACGACCACTCTGTCAACGCCCACTTTTTGCTAGACTTCCTCGGTCAATTGCGCCCAAAATATGTCACCTACGATTTTTTTTTATTTTTTCCGTGCTCAGGGGACACAAATTAACATGTTTAGAAGACGAAATTTTTTTTTTTTTTTTTTTTTTTTTCTTGCGTACAGGGGTGTAAATGTCCCAAGGACCCCTGAGCAGTGTAAGGGTTAAGCCTCGAAGAAGAATTATGCAGCACCCGGGGGAGCCTTGTCGGGCTCTCACGTGCATTGGCACAAATTGTCTTTCTTACCACCATCTTGTATATTTATATATATAGGAAACTTTATTGTACTAGATTACATGATTTCAAAATGTGGCCTTGACACATACACAACACAACCAATACAGGTAAAATGAAAAACTCACCAACAGGATACCTTAATAAATGTCAGAAATAGATTCGATCACTGTTGCAAGCCAAACACCTCTTCAAATTCCTCTGAATTTGTACTCATGCCCAAGATGCAACAGGCATTTCCCCTCTGAATCATGAAACTGAGACGCTGGAACAAGAAGCTTTTTGCTCTCTGGTCTTTTGTAACGCCGATCATTGTCCTTTAATTCCTTCAAGAACTTCAATGCACATTTTCCTCATGAACAGAGAGTCTCCTTACTGATCGGAACAAAGCTGTATCAGTGTACCAGACCTCTGTATTTGATGGCTTCCTGCATTTCCCTGAAAGAAGCAGTGCCGCCCCCTTTGCATGTGCTGTGTTGAACGTAGGTACTGGCCAGAGTGGAAGTGCATGTGTTGTCCCACACCACTTGCTTACCATCCTTCCAAGGAAGGAAGGTGACCCCATCTGGGTGCTTCTGAGGTTCGTTGGGTCTGAATAGGTGTGTTCTCTTTGTGCTGGGCAGCGGGTTGTGGCGAGTCTCCTCGTGATGATGTCGTTGACTTCTTCATGTATTGCAATCATACTCTGTGATTTACGACATACCAGACCATGACTATATTGGTCTGCCATCACAATTCCGCAGATGCATCTATGTTCCGTGAGGATGGAGGCAGCAAGGTGAAAGGCAACTCCAATTCGGAGAGTGTCATAATTGAGGCGAGTTCCCAGGGCAGCATTGGGCACAACAAATAAAAAATCCATAGCATGGGTGCTGGTACTGCTAAAAGGTGAGCTTTGTTCTCAGGCTCACCATTTTCAAGCATTGTTGTGGCAGTCTTTTCCAATGTGGAGTTGTTCCAGTGGGCCTGCTTGTGGTCTTTGGGGCTTGTGGCCAGAGTAGAGGGTGTGCTATGGTTTCCCATTGACTGGCTGCTTAGATGAACTTTTGATCTTGAGTTCCCACAGAGTTTCTCATGCGCTCCAGTAGGATCTGCTCTACTAATTCATTGGCTGCTGTGCATGAGGGGGATAAGACTGCTGAAAGTGCTACCTCAGTTTCCTTTTGTATGCTATTCCCTCAAATCTCACTGGTATTGCTGCTTGGTCCCACTGTCTGTCGTATAAATCTAGGTTGAGTGCCTTCCTCAATATTGACTTTAGGTGTTCATCATATTGACTTAGTATTGGGTTGCCAAAAGTGGGTGCACACCTTAAAAAGTACGTTAGCCTGGGCAAGGTAAGACACTTTGTGAGAAGGTAGAGGGCATCATGAGAGTCCAAGCCCTATTCTCTCTTACATCCTCTTTAGATTGTTAAACTTTTCTTCAAGTACTGCAGCAATGGCATTGTGCCCCAGAGGTGCTCCAAGTAGTGGTTTCAATAACGGGCTTCTGGTAAAACTGATTTCACTGCATTAATGACTACCTCACTGGATGAAATAATTTCACACTTGTAGGGGTTAAGAACAAGACCCAGGGTCTCCCTGTGACTTCACCGGTTGCAGTCTTCTAGTAGGGAGTCTTGTGTGCTTGCCAGAGTGTCATCATCCAGGAACCAGATGTTGAGCTCACTAGACAGTCTGCTTGTGATTTCTCAAACTGCTATGCAAAAGAGGAATAGGGGTTTTACCCCTTTTACCCCGAGGGGGTTGTCCTTTTGAATTCCCTCTGTTGAGGTGACTTTGTGTTTGCCAAATAGGAGTGTTGAGTCTTTGCTGTAACCTGCTGACACAAAGGGGAGAATGCTTGGGCAGTGTTCCTGGATTGCAGTGAGGACTACTTCCTTTTGGCCGAGTTGAAAGCGTTTTTTAAATCTAATATTACTACTGCCTGATCTTTGATAAGAAAACTAATGCAAGCTCGTGCAGCATGGGCTGCTGCTCCACAGCCTTGAGGGACCCCTAAACCTCAGCTGCTACGGACTGCTTCCTTTGGGTGTATGTGTGTGTGTGTGTGTGTGTAATTACCTAAGTGTAGTTACAGGATGAGAGCTACGCTCGTGGTGTCCCGTCTTCCCAGCACTCTTTGTCATATAACGCTTTGAAACTACTGACGGTCTTGGCCTCCACCACCTTCTCACTTAACTTGTTCCAACCGTCTACCACTCTATTTGCGAAGGTGAATTTTCTTATATTTCTTCGGCATCTGTGTTTAGCTAGTTTAAATCTATGACCTCTTGTTCTTGAAGTTCCAGGTCTCAGGAAGTCTTCCCTGTCGATTTTGTCAATTCCTGTTACTATTTTGTATGTAGTGATCATATCACCTCTTTTTCTTCTGTCTTCTAGTTTTGGCATATTTAATGCTTCTAACCTCTCCTCGTAGCTCTTGCCCTTCAGTTCTGGGAGCCACTTAGTAGCATGTCTTTGCACCTTTTCCAGTTTGTTGATGTGCTTCTTAAGATATGGGCACCACACAACAGCTGCATATTCTAGCTTTGGCCTAACAAAAGTCATGAACAATTTCTTTAGTATATCGCCATCCATGTATTTAAATGCAATTCTGAAGTTAGAAAGCATAGCATAGGCTCCTTGCACAATATTCTTTATGTGGTCCTCAGGTGATAGTTTTCTATCTAGAACCACTCCTAGATCTCTTTCTTTATCAGAATTCTTTAAAGATTTCTCACATAATATATAGGTTGTGTGGGGTCTATGTTCTCCTATTCCACATTCCATAACATGACATTTATTAACATTAAATTCCATTTGCCAAGTGGTGCTCCATATACTTATTTTGTCCAGGTCTTTTTGAAGGGCATGACAGTCATCTAAATTTCTTATCCTTCCTATTATCTTAGCATCATCAGCAAACATGTTCATATAATTCTGTATACCAACTGGTAGATCATTTATGTACACAATAAACATCACTGGTGCAAGAACTGAACCCTGTGGTACTCCACTTGTGACATTTCTCCATTCTGATACATTGCCTCTGATTACTGCCCTCATTTTTCTATCAGTCAGAAAATTTTTCATCCATGATAGAAGCTTACCTGTCACCCCTCCAATATTTTCCAGTTTCCAGAACAACCTCTTATGTGGAACTCTGTCGAAAGCCTTTTTTAGGTCCAGATAGATGCAGTCAACCCAACCATCTC